GGCTTCACTGGTTAAGAATGTTGCAGTTTAGGATTAGGAGCTTGGGGGTACAACAGTCCTCGAACGCAGGCCTCATCAAGTTCCGTAGTTTAAGCCGACGACCGACAGGGCGCACTCGTGCGCGGGGGTAGGGGCGTACGCTCTTGCCCTTTGGCTGTGTTGAAGAAGAGAGAGAGCGCGCACACACATGTGCAAAAGCAACAAAGGGGGGGTGGGCAAGCCGCCGGCACGGCGGCGCCTCTCGCGATGCTTGAAGGAGCGGGAAGCTGAGCGCCGAAGCGACAGGGCCAAGCTCCGTGCGAGTGAGCTCGGAGCCCGGCTGTTGGCTCTGCTCTCTGCGGGGGAGCTTGGAGCTCCGGCCGAGTCCACGCGAAGGAATCCCAAAAGCCGGAAGAAAAAAGCGGCGCTCGCTTCTTGGAGCAGAGGCTGGCCTCCCTTCGACCGGCTGCCAGGCATCAGCTGCTTTGGGCCTCAAAGGGGGTGACACCGGGTCTTCGAGTGCTTCGCCGAGCCCTGAAAGCTCCAAGGCCTCGAGTACACCCTTCGCTGCGAGCCGCTCGCAGAGGCAGGGCGATGTGAGCTCTGAGCCGTGTGCGAGGCTTGCGCCCTTTGCCGAGGCCTCCGCGACCAGCTCGAGCTCCAGGGTGGAGTCGGTCTGCTTCCTGCACAAGCCCGGGCCCCGCCTCCGCGCGATGTCTTTGTGTTTCAGAGAGCAGTTGCTGCCCCACGGGGCTCTGCTCGAGGCCTCGGCGCCCGGATGCGCAGGTCCTGGCCTCGGCGCAGGCCCTGAAGCGGAGCGGGGGCGGGGAGCGCAAAGGAGCGCAAAGGCATGCAACAAAAAGGTTATGGTGTGTGCTCTCTTCCGCAGTTCCAGCGGCTCCTGGACCAGCCGGAGATGTCCCTGGCTCGCCTGGCCTCCTGCTTCCAGGCATTGGGGATCGCAACGACTCGCAGCCGCTTCCGACCGCTTCCGACCGCTTCCGACCGCTTCCGACGAGGACATCCGCCTGGCTGAAGCCGAAGATGAGACAGACCTTCTGCAGGTGCGAGTCAGAGGGACTCAGAGGGAGGGCAGCTGTAAGAGAGCATTCGAAGGTGGAAGTCACGGGATTGCTGCCGTGGACGAGCTACGGCGTCTCCGTGAGAAGCTGAAAGATCTGAGAGACATCACACGAGCTAGAACGGGCAGGCGCACTGGGGCCCCGCGGCCCGCATGCATCTCAGCTTCCTTGTTGAGGTGGCTGCACGCTACCCGGCTGGAGCAGGTACGGGCCGTTTTTGCAAGAGGCGAATTGGACAGATCGCATAGAGACTCAGACGCGGAGAGGCCTCTACCCGCAGAGCCAGACCGAGGCGGGCACTCAATTGACTCAATTCCTGCGCTTTGCAAGGGCCACAGTCTGCGAATCGAATGTGGTGCGCTCGCGCTCAGGGCCGGAGGATGTCCGAGGCTTTGGGACCTTTGCTGGGCCCGTCACTGACGGCGGAGGCCCTGAGCCGAATATGTATCTTTGCGAAGCTGCTGACGAAGTGAGCTCCGTAGGTGGAGACGCCCGGAGGCGAGAATGCTCCTGGAGCCCCGCAAGAGGCGCATCATGACGTGGCACCTAAAAAAAGGGGGAGACTCTAAAAAAAGGGAGACGCAAGGTCGATCCCGCCAGCCTCAGCTGCGAGGCGGCAGGGCCCGGCACTTCTTTTGCACCTGCATGGCCCTGGCGCCGCTCACACTGCGTTGCAGGCCTCCAGCTTCCTGACCCCCGGCCTCCGCGGCATCTTCCTGAGCATTGAGGCTGTGAGAGCTGCGCCTTTTTTTCCGTCCTTGCGAGTCCTTGCGAGTCCTTGCGAGAGAGGACCGGAGCGACTACGCGCTGGAGTACTGCGCCTCTGGCCCCGCCTGGGCCCACTACGACGCGGAGGTGCAGAGAGCAGATCAGAGAACGCCGAGAGCGCTGCGGAGAGCGGCGCTGCGGAGAGCGAGCGGTGCGCGGTTGACGACGGAGTCCGCGAGGTGGGCGCTGCGGCGCTCCGGAGCTTCCAGGGGAGCTGGCCTCGCCTGCGAGAGGCCGATGGAAAGACGCTGATTGCACTCATCTTTTGCTACATCCTACATGAAACGGTATATTTGACGTGGTGTGTTTTTCCCTGATATTACCCTCTACTGTGGTACGGTCATACAAGATATATTTATGTATACTCATCTAGCAATCTATCCATCTATTTATCTATATATATATACATACATACATACATACATACATACATATATCTATATATATATATATATGGGGCGAGTAAAGGCCTCCATTTTTGGCCGTCGCCTTGCAGTGCTGCGTTATTCCTTTCTTAGCAACAACCACATGCCGACTTGCTTCATGCAAACAAATGAAACCAGACGCATCTGCGCCATACTAGCATAAAATCAAGAGGCTCCTGTCTTCTCGCCTTAGCCTCTTCCAATCTATAACAAGAGAGCTGAGCCTATCAAATGCATGAACAGAAATAAGAGGCTCCTTCGCGTCACACTTTGAAACGGCAGAATGTGAGAGCTCCTCTATCTATGAGCGAGGTACTATAGTACCATTCTATAAATTTAGCATGGACTGTCTGAATGCAGAACCAGGGCCTCGACTAAGTTCAAAATTCCGCCACATCTGTACAACAAGAACTACTAAAAGCAATAGTACCGCTGCGTGTTGTCGCATTTGAGGTTGCCAAACTGCTGCCAGGCTCAAATTTCACAAATTTTCTGAAGCTTGAAATGCCAGAACATTTGCCCCCAAATCCTAAATCCTGGCATCTATGGGGAGTGCGGGGCTCAGATTTTGTCATTTAATTTGTCGAAATTTGATCCCTGCCAGTGTTTTGGCATTTCTGGCTTCAACAACTTTGGTGAAGTTGATCCCTGCCAGTGTTTTCGCATCTGAGATTGCCCACCTCCCGTGATCCACTGCTTACAAAGGATCGGGGCGGGGGGGAGGCATGAGCCTCTATGGTGCAGCGTCCCCCCCCCCTGAGATGTAACTTGGGCGTGTGAACCCTCGCAAGGCGTACAGGCACACAAGCACGCAAGTGTCTCTGTCACAGCTATCCGGCTGAAGTCCAGATACTCT